GAGGAGCGGGCGCAGGGCGGGAGGGGGCGGGTGCGCGGGGTGGGGGGTTGAGCGGCGCAGGGTGGCGAGCGGCCTCGGGGACAGCCCCCGGGTACTGCGAGAGGCATCAGAGCTAGAGGGGGCGTGCCGACGCCCAGTGGGGAGGCACTTGCCCGCCCCCTGGGGCCGGAAGTAAGGAGGGCTCTCGTCTCCCTCCCTGCAGTACCCTCTGCGGGGCGCTGGCACTTCGTGTGTTCTCATCCCCGCGACCCCCACTGCGGGCCCAGGAAAGGTGCTCTGCGGCCTGGGGCGGAGCAGGGAGCTCTGATTCTTGAACCTCGGTGTTTGTACTGGCGGCTGCCCAGGCCCTACAAGTGCAGACCCCTGAGCCCTCCCAGCTGCTCTCAGAGAGGGGACCGAAGAGGGCCTGGGGAACTTGGAAGGCCATGCACCAGAGGGGACAGAGCTAGGAGAGCCCGGCGCCCAGACACAGGCCACGGCTGGACTTGAGCTGCAGCCCAGGGCCGGGGGAGGGGCCTCGGGGGAGAGCAGTGGGAGGAGGCAGTGGGGGTGCCCCGAGGGCTCTGGGTCTGGAGCAGGTCATGGCATCTGTATCTGTGCCCCAGTGGAGGGGGTGCAGGGGTACCCCAGACAGACCGGAGGGCCCTGTCCTGTGGGCACTAAGGGGAGCTGTGGGCCCAGCAGGAGAGAAAGAAGGCAAGTGGGCTGAGGGGGCGGGGGAGCCACGGGGCCCCCCTGACTTCGGCCGGGAGGGCGTGGGTTGAGACAGGCTGCAGCTCTTGGCCTCACTTCTCCCATATCTGGGCGTCAGCTGTGGGTACGTGCACAGGCTGGCACAGCTCAGCGACACAGAACCAGGCCTTGGGGACAGGCTCAGAGCTCGCTGGGCCTCCACCAGGGGCGGGCAGGCAGGCACCTTTTAGAGGAAAGGGGCAGGACCTGAGTGGTCCCGCAGTGCCTCCTGCTACAGAAGCCCCCGTGTTGCTTTGGAGCGGTGCCGCTGTCTGTGTAGCCAGTTTGCTAGTCGCAGAGGCCACCTGTTGCTTTGGTTTGCAGCCAGGGGTGGGCCCTCGGGCGGGGGCCAGGTGGAGACACTGAGGCCTCACAAGTTTCTGGCTAACTAACAGGCTGGCCCCTGAGACCCCCTGGCCTATGGGCTTGCACAGATGGACGCAGTGTCCACCGGCACCAAGTCAGATCTGGAAGAGGTCTTGTCCCCTCCTTCAGGGTCACTGGCTGGCTCCTTAGGGAAGCCTGAGGGGTGGGGCCTGCCCAGGGCACCTCCCCCCGTGGCTGGTCCCGGCTCCCTGCCCAGAAATGCTTCTTCCCAGTCTTCTAACCAGCACAGCCGTACTGGGCAGGGCAAGGCCAGAAACAGTGTTGCTGAGCGTCCGTTCTTGGGGATGTGCGGCCTGGGGTCCAGCTGGGTTCAGATCTCCCCGGTGTCCTCACTTGCCGTGGGGCTGGTTGTTTGGGGTTGCTGCGGGCGCCCCAGGGCCCCTACTGTGACGAGTTTGGGGTCAGAGCCCAGAATGGCCAGCAGATGGTGCCGTGGGCCCATCTGCTCCACCACGTTAGCGGGTAGAATTATGGATTGGGGAGTGAGTTTCATCCCAAAGAGTGAATCTGGATCAGAACCAAAGGAGAACAGAGTGATGACTCGCCGGGTGCAGAGATGGCCACACGGCCAGGGAGGGAGACGAGGTGGTTTCAGAGGGAAGGCGGGTGGGAGGGACAGACAGGAGTCTCTGCCTCATCAGAAGTCAGCTCTCCGGGTCCCCTGGCAGCCAGTCGAGCCCAAGCCCTGTGCGCTGCCCGCTGTGTTCTCGGGCTCTGGGATTCCGGATGGGCTGGAGGGACGAGGGCTCTTGCTGGAGGCCTCACCGTGTGACTTCTGACCTGGCTCCTGGGACAGGAAGGGGAAGAGCCGTGTGGACTTCGGGGAAGTGGCCACCTGCGCCGGGCAGAGGTATCTGACCGGGGTCCAGCCCCAGCGTGGGGCCCTGATGTCCACTACTGTGTACAAACCGACCGTGCTGAGCCAGGAACCTGCTGTGACCTCGGCTGTGTGACCTCATCCACTGGGACCTCTCACACGCACTGTCTGACCTCCAGGCCTCCTCAGTTTCCTGGTCTCCGGAATGGAGATGCCGATATAACGAGCTGATGTTTATTAAGCGTATACTCTGCGCGCATCAGCAGACGCAGGCTGAGTCTAAGCTCGTACTGCTCACCGCACAGCAGGCCAATAACACAGAGATGAGTTGTTGGGACAAGGCATAATGACTTTATTTGGAAAGCCAGCAGACCAAGAAGATGGTGGGCCCGTGCTCCAAAGAACCACTGTGCCTGAGTTAGAATTCAGGCTCCTTTTGTACTAAAAGGGGAGGGAATAAAGTCAAACATTTCCTGGTTCCGGTCAGCCTCTGGAGGGGGTGTGTGAATTTCTTCCTCCCTGCAGTCATTCACACTGTGGGCCTGGTCAGGATGTTTCCTGTGAGCTAAACAAAGGTATTTTAGCTTAATGCTCACTACCTGGGAAGCAGGGTTCACAGAGATGGGCCATTATGTAGAATTTACACTTACAGGCAACATCCCTGTAGTGATTAACTTGTAGTAGAATACAAATGTTCTTCCCGATTACATCACCACCAAATTCATTCACTTCCTCCCATTGTCAGATCGGTCCCTCCTCCAGGACGTTCATTGAGCCCGGCTGGGGGGGGTGGGCACGGCCCTGCTGCTCCCCTCACTCTCCCAGCTTCCCCACTCATCTCCCACCCTCCCACATCCCCACCCAGTTGACTGGTGGGCAAGCCAGTGGCCAGCTGGTCTGTGTCCCTTTCCTGGGAGGCCGGCTTCACCCAACACGGGCTTCTTGCTTGGGTGGCTGCTGTGCCGTCGAGCCTGGCTCAGGAACACCTGTCGGAAGAAGGAAGGAGGGGCAAGGTGGGTCAGCTCGAGGCCCCTGATTCTAGCCAAGGCAGTCTCACTGTGTGACCCCTCCCGCCCAATCCCAGGGCTCAGGGTCATCCGAGGCCGGCCGGACACCGGGCTGGGAGCACCCCTGCCCTGGGACTGTGGGGTGGGGTGCTCCCAGGCAGAGCCTTCGCTGGACCCCGTGTAGCCCCATCCTATAAGGAGGAGCGGGTGTTTCTCACTGTTGGAGAATGGCAGAGGGGCCACTGAGGCCGAGATGCCCATCCAGTGGTGGGGGTGGAGAGACACGGGTTGCTGGGCACCAGCCTTGCTGCGGGCCTGCGTCCATGACTGGGCAGGCGCCTTCGGGGTGTGGAGCAGAGGTGGGTGCTGCTGCCCTCCGTGGGGCATAGGGGGTGGGCAGCTGCAGTTCCAGCCCCAGGCCTGGGGCCGGACTAGCCTGTTTCTCCCCTTCCCTGCAGCCAGCGCCTGGGTGGGTGGAGAGACTGGGGAAGAGCCCGCTTCTCCCCACTGACCTTTAGGGCGCAGCACTCCCTCTGGACAAACCTGGAGAACAGGCTCCTCCAGCTGGCGGTGGTGGCCGGCTGGGAGGTCTGGGAACACACCTCACCCCAGCTGGCAGCCGTGGAGCTGGCCCTGAGGTGCGTGGGGCGGGGGTGCAGTGGGCACGGGGTGGGCTCGGGCTGCCTGGGGTGGGAGGGGTCGTGGGCATAGGTGGGCGGCCCCCCAGAACCGAGCTGGGACTCCCACCAGCCCCTTGGGCAGAGGCCTCCCCCAGTGCAGGGGCGGGAAGGCCCTGCTGCGGGACCCAGAGCAGTGCCCTGCCAGGGGCTTGTTAGGTGGGGCAGGACAGGGGCTGCCTGGGGCTTGGGCCGGTCTGGGAAGTAATGTCAAGCAATTTCAGGACACAGGGGCTGGCCAGGGACTCTGCCGGTGGCCAGGGCCTGTTGTCCCTGTGCTGGCCTGGGACAGGCAGGCACGATTCCTGGCCCAGCGGTGTGCTGGGCCTCTGGGGCGGTGGGCCACTGTCAGAGCTTCAAGGGGGTGGGACAGGAATCTGGAGCCTGAGGGGCCAAGGAGGGAAGGGGCACCATCCATGTGGCAGAGCTAAGGGTCAGAGCTCGGAGAGGCCCTGCCTGGTCCAAAGCAGGCGCAGGGTGAATCCCAGGTCTGTCTGGTCCCACGTCTGAATCCCAACGTCTTTGCCTGATGCCAGGGTGGGTGGGGGTGGCGTGAGTGCAATCATCATCTGGGGTTGAGCTGGTTGGTAACTAAGGCCTAGACACTAAGGGCCCAAGGAAGAGGTGATCTGGGAGGACTTCCTGGAGGAGGAGGCTTTGCACTGACAGGAGAGGGAGGGCTCTGTCCAGACCAGAGGCCATCCCCCCCCTCCCCTGGGGCTGGAGGGAGGGGGGCAAAGCCAGGACCCTGTGGGGTGGGGCACCCAGAAGAGTGAGGATTCGTGGGCACCAGGCAAAGCCAGGGCGGCCTGAGAGAGGC